TGTTTGTTTTGTTTTAAATTGAGACCTGTGTAACATTTGTTATCATTCTTATTTTTATCATGTTAATGGAGGAAGAAAAAGTAGTATCGGCTTCATTAATCGGCCAAAAAATATTGGCTGCACGTATCGGTGTATCGGTTAGACTGATGTTTAAAAAATCAGTATCGGTATCAGCCTTCAAAAACCTGAATCAGTCGATCTCTACTCTCCAGTGAGTTCTGGCTCTGCTCCGGGACCTCTTTTCATTGGGACATGTCTGAAACACCTGTAAGGGGAGGCAAGACACAAACTGTCCAAGAGGCGTCCGAATCTGATACCTGAACCACCTTCCTTTTAATGTGAATGTTCCCAGCTTCCTCTGGATAATGGCACTCCTCAGCCTATAATGCTACGTTCACACAGAACGCGTTTTGAGCGGCCAAGAAGCGCAAAACGTCTCCCCCCTATACAATCATAATCATATATGATGAGTATATATGAGTATACCATCTAATTCAGGGGTTTCAAACTGTGGGGTGCAGCTCTATGGAGCTAAATTGGGGTCATATGTTTTGTTCAAAATAAAAGAAAATTTAAACTGAAAAAAGGAGATTTGAAACTGAAAAAAATATTTGAAACTGAAAAACAATGCATTGCAATCTGGAAAAGTTTCAAATATCTTGTCTTTTCAGTTTCAAACTTTATTTTCAGTTTCAGAGTTATGCCCCAGAGAGAACAGAAGATTAATAATTTTAAAACATTTCAGAGCTCGAGCTCATGCGCGGCTCCTAAGAACCGCTTCAGAGCAGCAGCTCAGAGTTTCTCCAGTGGTTCTTGGATCAGATCAGAGCGGTGCACGCACTCTGAAATGATTTTAACTTTAATCTTCTGTTCCCTGTGGTGTATTGAACATTTCCTGGAAGTGTAACAAACATTCCCTGAAAGTTTCATAGAAATCCGTTCAGTAATTTTTGAGATATAAGCCCAAGAAGCAACAGGGGTAATTTTGGCCAAACTTGGCCGCAGACAGAGCCCTGTAGGCGGGGACAGGTTGATAGCTGGCCGTGCAGAGCTCCAGTGATTCCTGGATGTCACTCTCACTCCTCGTGGACAACAGAAGTGGAGACGGGATGTTGGAGTAGCCTAATCCCCGCTGCAGGGCTCCTTTGTCTTTAAAATATGAAAATAAATAAAATAAATCCACATCGGAGTTCGACAAACCTTCAGGAAGCTACAGCTGACAGAAAYTTGAACCAAATCACACGGCTGGTTTAATAGTTGGATTTTGGTTGTCTAAGATTAAATAATATATTCCCCTCGCCCACGTCAAACAGAAATAAAAACACACAATAGTTTCAGGAAATGTTAATCGCAGCAGAGAACAGCTGAATAAAGTTTGAAAGTCGTCTGAGCAGACCTGAAAAACTCTGCTGTCTGTCTGTTRGCAGCAAAGCCTGGAGCCCCGGCTACAGCTTAGATCTCCATGACGCAGATCGAGTGCCTCCCCCGGTCAAAGTGAGTCGGGCAGACCGCCTGGGCTCCACGTCCAGGGGGAGGAGCTAAACCCACTTAAGCCGGAATGCATATTATCAGGCATACAGATGATAAGTGCCTTCAACCTACCAGGAGATAAAGGAAGGACAGTCTGCAGACATTTTAGGACTGATAACCTCTAATAACAGACATTTATTGGACTGAAAACACTCCACTCATAGCTGCTGGTTCCTGAATGCAACACCTTGTCCAGCCTGTGTTGAGCTGTCAATCATGATTCTGCTGCGCCTGTCATCCGAGGCCCCACCCCCCACCTTCAATCGGGGTCTTAACTCTGAAACTGAAAATTTAGTTTGAAACTGAAAAAAATATTTGAAACTGAAAAGACAAGATGTTAGAAACTTTTCCAGATTGTAATGCATTGTTTTTCAGTTTCAAATATTTTTTCAGTTTCAAATATT